ACGCTGAACTGCGCGGTCAAATGATACTTCCCGGTTGCCCAGGCCGAGGAAGGGGGTTTGGTTGAGGTACCCCACCTTGAGCCTTCGACTCAAAAGTCTGACCCACAAGGCAGTGGGAGAATGTAGGGTTTTGTTTGGGGACCCTAATCCTAGCCTCTGACTCAAAAGTCTGACCCACGAGGCAGTGGGAGAATGTAGGGTTTTCTTTGGGGACCCTGCCCGGAGCCGATGACTCAATAGTCTGACCTGCTCGGCTGCAGTGGGTTGGCCTAACCCGAGGGCGCAGGAAATAAGGCATTACTGTCTCATTCCTAATGCGGCTGCACACAGCAGGTGCCTTTTGAGCAGCACCGGGCTCTTTGGTTTTAAAAGTATTTCGACCGTATTGGGTAATGCGCCGGCGGTCACGGTCAACCGTTGGGCGATCGGAGTGTGCGGTTTTTTGGGGCCGACCTTTTCTAACCCGTCCTTCCTCGGGGGAAGGCGGCATCGCTGCTTCCATAAATATGGACATGCTGGTCGCCTGGAGGAAACACCTTACTGCCTTCACACTCCTGTTGCAGAGGACAGTACGACCCCCAGACCGCCTCGTAGCACGATTACTCGTAGTACGGGATCTCGCTGCTCTTGGTCTGGCTGCTCCCCTTTGGCCTTCTTGGAATGGTTGAACCTTGTGGAACGAAGTTTCAGTCACTCTAGCCCACGGGATCATTGCAGCACTCAAGCCCAACCACCACGTCAAGGTGGCAGCTTTAGGTCGGGCTTGTTCAGATGTGCACCCTAGTGAATCAAGCACAGACTGCAATGCAGCATTATGTGGAGAGCTGTAAAGAAGATAGTCAAGGTGGCAGCTTTAGGTCGGGCTTGTTCAGATGTGCACCCTAGTGAATCAAGCACAGACTGCAATGCAGCATTATGTGGAGAGCTGTAAAAGAAGATCGTTGTCTTGGTTGTTGGACCAGGGTTAATCTCATCCGTCCAATTTTAAGCAGCTGCTTCCAAGTATTCGCCATTACCGGTTTGAAATCAAGGTTTGACTGACGTCCCCGGACGTAAAACCATTGGAGTGTCCAGCCACGCTACCGTTCATTCACCTCAATGAAGGTCTCCACGAGAAGCAAATGGACAAGGCTTTCTCATGATGAGCCATATGGAACATTCCAGTGCTGCGGTAATAAGAGGCAAATCCTGGAAGCAGTAGTTATTTTCACCAACCACCACATCCTATCGCTAAGAAAGAAACAATTCTGCATCTGTTGGTGTCCCTCTGCATCGATATTCTTGCTGCGCGGTTTGCCTCCATCAAAGACGAAGACGAGGCCGGCATCGATGATTCCAGCGAAGAGGTTTTCTAGTTCAATATTATCATGCTGAAATCATCCTGGGTATTGAATCTCGATTCATTAAGCTGCCTTTAGTTCTGTTCTTTATGGATTCGAGGGCTGGTCAATGCTGTGTCCGATGTCTACTGCTTGAAAACATGCTGGGCCGATGAGATCTTGAACGCAATTGTTTGACAAGTGTTTTCCACAACCACCAACATACAACTTGCAACTTCACCTATGAAATTTCCTGTACATCCTTTGGAAGCCGGATGACGAGTAAGTTTGGAAGGTCCGCAACCCAAGTCCATATAGAGTCGGAATTCCTTCTTTGCCGGTCAACTGCGAATTTGATTCGATGCAATTCCTTGATAGTGTCGTTGTCAGATACGCCTGGGTCACAGTCTGTACAGAACTCATCGATTATCAACTAGGGGTAATCTGTAACGTTCATACAATAGGTGATACTCCTGTAAAGGTCAACCGCAGTAAAGTAAGCTAGCTTCCCTCATCGGATATCTCCGCTGGACTTCCTGCCTCCCGAGAAAGTGTATGCTCAAGGAACTATATGCTCTTAATGTCAACCATTCACTGGGGCATAGATTCCGGCGCGTTGCCGAAACCCTATCTGAGATCATGCAAATTGATGACTAAGAAAAGGCGAAAAGCCTCTGGCATTGTGAACATGAGATCAAAAGAGGCATTTTCGTCCGTCTTTAGAATCTGATCCGCAGTGGTTAAGTCAATTGTGGTTGACGGACAGGACGTCTCTGCCCTGTGGCATCACTTCGCAAGTTCGCCGACTCTCCACAGCACAATGAACACGAGGTCGCACAAGCTCATATCCGTAGCTGTTAATCACAGAGACAAAATATAGGGACTTGAGCCGGTTGGAAATAGACGATGGGTTAGCGAAATGATATTTCCGTTCAGTTAGAACACAGGTTATCTCATGTTTGCCCGGGTGAGGGATCCTACACATGACAGAAGTTAATCGCTCATAACCTGGATTTTTGCATCCCCGAAGATGCTGTAGCTCACGAAGTCAACGAATACTAGGAAGCCTTTTAGTCATAGAGGAAATTAGACACATTTCATTGCTCATCGCTCTGAAAAGGGAAAGTGGGTTCCGGTCAAATATTCTTAGCCCCACAATATGGTTTTAGAATAGAGGGAATGCTCTCCTATTCGATGATGGGCACATTTCGTAAGTCGACTGGGTTGTCAGTACGACATACATTTAAAGTGAGCTGGACTCGTCTTGATTTCCCCTCCAGATCTTAGTCAATAAAATCGATATACCAATTACCTCTGACGAACTACGAAGCCGGTCACTCTAGGAACGGCAGTTCTATGTTCGCTGTTCGTCAGTAGTCCTTTCTGTATCCTAGATATCAATTGTCTTACCGCGGCAATAATATTGGGGATTAACTCAAATCAAGCGGTATTCAAAAAACCGCTTTAAGGACGCCGGAAACTAGTACTGAATTTGGGTAATCTTTCACAGCAGTGTAGAGATTGTATGGTTTTACTAACCGCTTTGGTAACTTCGTTGAAACAGTGCAGCCATCCAGTGCACGTCCTAAGCTGCGAACATTCTGTACGAAATAGGTTAGATGTCAGGTGCCTTTGAACTTCTTCGTTTTCTCCACATTCGTTTTATCCTGTTTCCGTTCCGCCCTATTAGAGTTTCGAAAACCAGTGATTCTTTTATTTTTCAGCAAGCCGTACTACCTTCACCTGATATGGCAATCCAGAACTGTCATCCTCAGGTTACTAAGGCTATTGCCTGATAGGCCATCTATCAACTCGATACATAATTTTCGTCCCCTTGAGTCCGCTTCTGCTCAAGTAGAGGTTATTCTTGGATACATATTTGACGAACGTTTATCCTTAGTTCTTTGACAAAACGCCATTCACTTTAGTGCATTTTGTCATATTTTTTTGCCTCCGTTTGTGTCTTCATCCCCGTCCCCCTTAGGCCCATACAAAGAAGCAGAAATACGAACGTATATACGAAAAGAAACTTACCACATCACCAGAACAGCTTTGTAAAGGATATGCTGTAGAGTTTGAGAAGTACTTGCACTACGCCCGTTCGTTGAAGTTTGACGGTGCTCCCGATTATCCCTACCTCCGTGGAATGTTCCGCCGATTGTTTCAAAGCCTGAACTACGCGTTGGATTATGTTTTCGATTGGGCGCTATTGCGAACCAATACTTCAAACCCTACTCCTGCCCTCGCTGGTGTGCAGGCCAACTGCGCCGATAACGGAAAGCACAATCATGACGACGAGCGCAACGTAGATCCAAATGACTTGGAACTCATGCGCTTACTAATGCCAAATGATCCACGGAGCACCGAACATAACTCGTTAGGCCAGCGGCAACAGGAGCAGCAGCAGCAACTCCTTCAACAACATGCTCACACAGGGAAGAGTGGTGTGCAAGTTTCCACACTTCATTCGCAATTTGTCAGTCCATCTGGTAATCCTGTCAACCACGCTGCTGCACACCACCACCCAAACCCGAGCAGTGGGGGCGGGGGTGGAGGTGGTGCCTACGGGATGCGTTGTGTTGCTCCCGATTTACATCGTTGAACCACGGCTCCAGTAAGAACGCACAAGTTTAATACATTCGTGTTTGTTACTGATATACTGGACATACACATACTCGTACATATCTCTACCACTGTCAATGGCAGTGTGTATAACGAGCAAACTGTTTGCTCTGTTGCTCGTTTTTTCAGTGTTCCGCGGAACTGCTATAAGCTCCCATCGCAATCATCAAGGATGTGTGCGCATCCAACAAACAATATAAGACAATCGTCCTTTGTCTGACCGAACGAATGACTTTCAAAATCGATCCGGACCCAGTATTTTGGACTTCGATACTTGTCACGAACTTCCTGGTTTCCCAATTCCAGTTCAGCACATCAGTCGGCTTTCGGCCAAACTTGTTTTTCAGGTTGTTACTCTCTCACTGTCAGGGAGGTTACACGTTGTTATCCTCATAATATGTCAAGGACTCAGCACTAGCTTCCTTGGCAGCGCACTTGTACACACACTAGAAGCGCCTGACATTTGATGACTCAGTCAGTTCTCTTCTCTGTCGTTTGATTTCTACGTACCGTAACCTCATGCTCCGACCAATAGACCATCACTACACACGCTTACGAAGGCAACTGCTTTTTCTTTTTTCCTCATCCAAACTGTTTCAAAGTAACTAAGAGATGTATAGACATAATTCACTACTCCTAAGGTTGCTTAAAATTATTCGGCTGCCCACGACCGCTTTCGCCCTTCTTGGGGCCAATCAGCTAGGCACAGTCCCCGAATTTCCATCAACCTTATGGTCTTCTTGAAACCGAATTGCACGGAATTAGCGAAATGCACTTATTTGCAAACAAATATCGTACCAACTGAAACATGAGGCGTCCTGTTGCAGCACATTCAGTTGCTTAGCAACATTATAGACGAGAGATTTAGCTGAGTTTCTCACAAAACCGAATTTGTTTAGAACTGTCTGTATTTCGCTAAATAAGATATGCTTTTGTCAAGTAGGTTACCTTTAACCGGAAGCAGACGCCGTTTCGTACCAGAATTTTTCATGATTGCATACGGATCGACCAAATTCCGTCCGACGTAGTCAGGTGATAATATTGGTTACTGTCGAAGATCTCTTGAAATGCTGCATCAACCCGATGCGGTCTTTGTGGAGCCCTGAATTAACATCAATCCCTTACACGAGATGGCGAGATGGCCGAAGTGGTTAGAGCGCGGATTACTAACCTGAAGGTCCGCGGTTCGAATCCGACCTCCGCCACTCGACTTCCCCTGTCTAGGCTTGGGCAACCTGGCAGTATCCCAGCCCTCGTGCTTCCTTCAGGTGGCATGGCAGCTAGGCACCGGAAGGGTGCTACAGCTGAACGCTTTATCTTTTTTTTTATCCTTACACGAATGACCACTGAAGTTGATGAAAAGCATTCTACAGATACCACCACCAAATTAGGCACTTGACTGTTAGTGAGCTCCTTTTATCAAAGAAGAACACAACTAACCACGATCGCACCGTCAATTCTTGTTCTATCTACCGATACCTCTTTTTCCAACAAATCATTTTACACACGGCTACCTTTTTTTCATAATAATGACTTTAATTTCAGGGAATAATTTACCCCTTCTTGTCGTCTTTCAGGATGTTCCACCTATATTTTTTTGGTGAGCCCGCGTGCTTGGGATGGTGTCCCATATTATGACTTCATTAGTGTTGGGATAACCTTCTCGGAGGGAGCTGTGTGAGTATCTTGTGCTTTAGTTTACGAGTCAGCTGCGGCACTGGGTTATATTTATGTTTTAGCATGATAACGCATAAACTGGCCAGTTATCAGTCTCCAAACCATGAGTCGAAGTAAACGCCGTCGTTCATTTTCCTGTTTTTCATTTTGACACAGAATTTAGAGTATAAGCTGGTAATAAAGTCGTTACGTTTTGGTGGCGCGACCACTGATGCTTCAGAAATGGTGATGGAGTTGGACGAGGCATTTCTCTGGTCATAAACCTTCGTGATTCAAGTGTGCATATCCGGGTGGTGACGGTTTTTAGTGAGATGTATTCAAACAAGACTGACAGACAATGAGGTGGGGACCAGATGTTACCACAGGAATGCATAATATTACGTGACGCATTATCCGATGTCCGGCTGCACTATCTCCCAGTCATCCGTAGAACCTAGCTGACGAAAGTCCTGTGCCTGAATACACATTAGGTGGGTCATCAGGCTACTTAATTGATATGGGTAGCCTTCACCCACATTAGTACGGTGTGAAGCCCAAATGTTCTACCTCTCATCACAACATGAACGCAACAGACTTAAACCTCCTTCGACTCTCAAAACTGAATGGCGGCGAATTGACGGATACCTACTTACCGAGCTCTAGAACGCGCTGGTTTTTGTGGCTTTCATGACTGTCTTTGTCCAAATAGCCCAAAGGCTATTTGATTACATCCACCCATAGAACTGAAAATTTATGAAGGTAGAAATTGAGCAACACGAAATATAGCTTATTAAGGAAATCTGAAACGAGTTCACACTCTTGGCGCATCTTTCCTTTCCTTGACCACAATACCCCGACCATATGCTTTCCCGAATATTTGTCAATCCGGTCTGTCACTAAGCACACTATCGATGTGTTCAATCGACCTATTCTATGGCGAACTGGTTTGATGGTTCACGAAAACCTCTCAGAAGAAAAGTATCAGTACATAAGCCAAAAGCTACACTCAGTTTCATTGGACGGGTGTGACGACCCGGTTACTGAGCGAGTGAGAGCATGCCCAGGTTTGCTAGAACGTCAGCCAATCAGGATTTAGCATTTCTACTTTGGCGCTTCTCGCCCCCTCGTGAAGAGTCCAGTGGACTTTTCCGGAACGTTTCGCGATAATCCCATGAATGCAGTTGTGATTTTCGATGTTCCCACAGAGGACTCTATCAGGCTATCGTGTTTTTATGTACCATAGTAGCGAACGGTAAACCAAGGACCGATATAGGTGTTGCACCACCGTTCGCAAGACACAACAGCTGGCGGCAACCCGAACCCACGTTGTCAATTTCGACAGAGCAACTTCAAGTAATTTTACAATAACAAGGGAGGCAGTTCGAAGAAGCTCAAGTGTGGCCTACTGAATCTTTGAAGCGCAGTGTCGGTGAATAAGACAACAGTTGGGCCTCCATGTTCTTCCACAGATGCTGCTACTAGCTTGTTTGCTGAATTCAGTTTCAATGTTGAACCTGCACGAACATTCAAAAATTGGCTCAAGAAATATGAGGACATCTTTCAAACCAACTTTGCTCAGTTGGATGACACATGGAAAGTTCGACTGTTTCTACAGCAACTGGTATCAGCTAAACATGTTCGGTTCACGCACACATACTCCCCAAACTCACTCGTAGCCTTGGCTTCGTATGTACCATCAAGATCGCTTGTCCGGCATTCGCTATAGAAACCACAGGTTTAGCAAGCGCAGTTCAAAAAACCGCAAAGCGGAATGTTGCAGAGACAACTTCAGAAGCTTGGGCAAACATCAGCCTGACACTCGGGCTGTGACCGCTGCCTGCAGGATGAAATCACTCGAACGGCGAAAATTAGTCACAATACGTACTAACGACACACCGGTTGCCCTCCAACTTGATACAGGTTCTGAACCCAGTCTGAGTTCAAGACGTGCTTGGAACTGGAGTGGAAGCCCATTAGAACACAAAGTGCACTGGAAACCCCAAACTGACTGGTAAGTTAAAACTGGTCTGTAACGTTCACTGGAGTTTAATTCAATGGTACTTCGACTAAACCGGCCTGGATCATTGATGAGCTTCAACTCTTGGAGCAACCCTTCAATGCCAATTGTAACGAAATAGCTACAGACGGCTGCAATACGTTCAAGCGAATACCACATCCGGACGACTTGGCGGTCGTCACAGTTACAGTCCAGTCGGAGCATACGCGACAGGACGGTCATTCAGCTTGTCGTCCAACATCGGTGGCCCTATCACCTCATTTCTTTTTGTCGGAGCCTGTCAACGGCCTACAACAGTCCCCACCCTTTAATCCCTAGCCCCGTGAGCATGCAGATCGTTACACTACTATCAAGCAGGCGGCACACTAAGTGGAGTTTTTGGTAGAAGCCGACAAACTAACAGCCATATGGTAATATTATCCGTAAAAGATAAAGTCCCGGCTTCTACATTTCGTGAGTGACTCCAGGAGACCAGTCTTTTATCTCCATTGTAGATCGAGTCCATTGATAGTTGGCGAAGCTTGACGGTTGGGTTCGGTTTCTGGTAAGAACTTGCGTCTCTTCACCATCAATGCCACCAACAACCGCTAAGAACACTGGCGTTTCGCTGCCGTACAGTAATGTTAGCCCTGAATTAAGCCTAATAATGGAAAGAAGATAAACGAGCAAGGAAAGGGACCTAATGCTGGTCTAACTTCAAAACCCGAGGGAGGCTGCACCTCCAGCCCTCGTACAGATAGAAACCTGTAGAAGGAACGCAACTGGCATCGGTTGGCCATCCTATCTGTTAGTAGAATCCGTCACTCTCCTCTACGAATTTACATCCTGATTACCTCCAGTATTCCCAATCCCATGGTGGATGGTGACCCATCACAAGTAGCCCACGGTCAAGTCATTTTGGGTCGTGCTGGAAGTAATCCGAAGGTGAAGTAACCAAATACCCGTTTCCTGATAATTTGATTGTGAATTCGTTGGTTCCAGCTGTAGTTCTGTTATATCAGCGGTCAAAAGTTTGAAGATTTCTCAAATTCATCATTCGTAGTTACCGGCTCTCGTAGGTGTTCAACAATACTGCCCGCAGTGCAGTCTGACACGCATTCTATGTTATTCCGTGATATATCTCTGATTGCACAAGTAACATTGGAAGACGTCATTCTAGCCTTTGATATTCACACACTACCGTCAGCGCTAATGGAACTTCTGGGTCACATTTAATAATCCACAGCCTCCAATATCTTGAGTGCCCGGATATCTGCGAAGGCCGAACCTCCTGTAGCGTGCCCTTAAGCGTTGTGGTTGTCAAGCTTATTGAAGGATCCGATGACTTTGATCAGTTTCCTGGCGCCTCTGCTTCGCCCCCAAAATTGAGAAATATGTTGCTCGTTTAGTGAACAAGGTTCTCGCCTTCAGAGATCCGAGCGCCGGCGCACAGGAAGTCCAACCGATTCTTTCTCATTATCTCTTCGAAGACCAAAGTAAACAAACTATGGGACAGTGAAAATTGTTGTCCGACATCACCGCATTTAGAGAAACTTTTGGAGAGTGCACTATTAAGGAGTGTTGGGAGACAATCGTGATAGACGCAACACTTGCCCTTTTCCCGGTTCCTCTTCCTTCACTTACTTTACTGAGTTCCTCGATTTCGATAAGACTGGAAACTTTGGGGCCGCGTTAATCCTGGATACATTGCGCGACAATCGACCGCATACTTGACTGCTACTCGGCGGTTACTGACGTCGATTTCCCTAGTTTGCGGTTTACCCATTGAACTCACCGAATGTGCAGATTGCGATGGTTTGGGCTCTTACATCTTGTACCTCAGGTGCAATAACAACGGTAAAAGAATCAAGGAAATTCGTCACTCATATTAGCACCTGATTTATCCCAACAAAGTAGGTTACTACGAGTTTTCTTATGCTCACTTATTGATCTCCTGTCAGAATAGACCACCTGAAGGGACAAAAGGGGAGGGACCAGCCAGATGGTCCCTTTTGTTACTTAGTCATCCATATCTGGACACTTCGGTCAGATACCTATTCGGGCCTAGGTATATAGTCATAACAGTCCGAGATTCAAGACAAAGGTACACCAGTTTCCTAAATTTGTCCACCAACTGGGTCGATTGGTCGGTCCACGTTCACTTGTTTGGCCATTCCCGTTGAAGCATGTGACTTGGTTGATAGTACAACCTATTGGTGTAGATCAGCGGGGTCGAATTTCAGGTGGTCTCTCAAAGTTAGTAACCCGAAAAATACAAATACCGCGAGCACAACAATAACACTATCGTAAAACCCCCTTTTAGCAGTCCTGTCCCTGAACAAAAGCGCATGTGGTTGAAATTGTCTCTTATCTGTGGTCTTCAGCAGTGCAAATTATTGGACTCGCCGTAATTCAAACGCGCAGTTCGAAGCTCCGCTGCACACTTCACGAGGCGTGCACATATTACCGCAAACACATGCTGTACGAGCCCAATCATTAGGTATGAACAGGTGACAGTGTTACCAACTTGGGAGCTCCTTGGCTCCGGCTGTCAATCGATTGATTAGCCTGTCAGGAAACTATAGCCAGGTTGTACCACTGATGCTTGAAACCTGCTGTATAACTCAGTTCGATTAGTTGTAAGCAACCGGGGAATAAATGGAATTTATAATTGCGTAACTCCTCGTGTCATGGTACTATCATTTAACCCACACCAACAGCAGAGAGCACTTATCCATCACAGGTGCGATTTTATCATCGTGATGAGGACGCATCAGTCATTCTACCCCACTACTGACTGGTCGGGTCGTTGGTGCTCCAGCGGTCAATTCAAACTTAGTTACTTCACCGTATTTTCCATTAACTGATTTAATTGTGGTGAAGGTGGGTGGGGTGACATTCCAGTGCGGTTATCCGGCACTATCTCAGCAACCGACACCGAGACAGCTAAGGTTAGTGACAAGTTTGGAATGCGATTTTGAACTGGTAGAAGGTAACGTATCCAAAAATTCCCATGAAAAGTTCAAGTCCAGGTAAATGAAAAATTGCAAGAAATAATATACCCGAGTTGCAATGCTAAAGGCCGCTTTGGGCTCTGGCGATAGTCAATATCAGTCGAGTAAACATATCGCTCCAGTGTTTTTGTTCCTTCTGGAAAACTTTTAAGCCGAATCCCTTGGAGGGGTAAAGATGTGTGAAAAGCCACAGTTTGAGCTTGCCGCATCCAGTGGTGACAATTCAGATGTCACCTCTCCTTATCTTTTCGGTCTTTTGAAAGGGTGGAAAAGTCTAGACATGTCGGTGGATGATTTAACAGCGATGCATAAAAACGATGGCCAACAACATCAGTCGCGTTGACAGCCGATTGCTTCCCGGACGAGACTACATCAATGCCTAGAAGTGCTAACAAATTTTGCACTGTCATTATCTTGTAATTGAGTTACTGCGTTCAGAACGTGACTACCTTCCTCTCATGCGGAAAATGAAATGTATTTGTAATCACCTTACGATAGTCATTTTATCATCTATGAATGGAAGCGTTGCTGGGAACCAATGAACGGATTGTACACGGTTTATAGGTGACCACGGTGGTGAAACCCTAATAAGTTTCGTGAAGTCACATTTCTACTTACAAATTTCGGATTTCGTTGCGGATATACAACTTAGGGTCTTTGTCCACGGATCCTGTTGACACCCGCAGTATCGTTATTTCTAGAACCGACTCAACTGGGTGACTACTGCATGCGCATTTTATTATCCTCTTCCAAGAGCTTTTTCTACGATGTTGAAGTCTCAGACTTGTTACCTTATCCCATCCAGCAATGATCCCTGACTTACCGCTTGTGACGATTGCTTTACAATGAGTACCGCTAAGTTCGGTAGTGCATCAGTGCCCGTAAGGTTGCTTCTTGCAAGCATCTTCAAGGCACATTCACAAGTTTGACACATTTACATTGACTGCTATTTACCTTCCAGATGAAAATAAAATATGCAGTGACATTTTTTGTTGTGATATGTGAAGGTGCCTGCTACAGTGTTTCCTGGGCTTATGTATTGCTTGCATGTATTTAAGCCCCGTTATCGTGATTCACAATATTGTATGTGTTCTTCACCTAATGCATAGCAGCTGTAGTCATACTGGGTACAGAGTGAAACTTATATTCATACCCATAAGCCAGTTATCAAGGCTCATTCGCCTAACAGCACAAGTGCAATTAAGTGAGAAGCTCTAACGTTTTTCACACGATGATTTCCAATGCGGTGA